GTGAAACAAAAGTTATTTATTGTTAAAGATCACATATATATTTAAACTATAGTGCATATAATATGCATGCATGCATGTATGCAGCATACCATGCGCATGCATGGTAGGGAAAAATGTCATTTTGCCCATCCCTATACTCAACAGATGCATGATTATAGTATAATGTGATACAAATCACTATGTAAATCCAATATAGGGTGAATATAGAAAATTTCTAACATTTATCCAAGAAAAACTTTTTTTATACTAAGTTAATCAACAAAGTCAATTAATTGAAAGTTATAAAGTATATTATTGCAGTTCTAATAGTGGTTAAAACATCCAAATCAGCCTAGTGGATGATGAGATATCTTTAAAAAATGTGTCGACAACTATATAAAATTTCTATAAACAATGTATTGTTTATATAGAGATTTTATATAGTTGTTGCTACATTTTCTAAAGATATCTTAGCATCCACTAAGCTGATTTGGATAATTTAACCACCATTAAAACTGCAACATGTTTTACAACTTTTAATTAATTGACTTTATCAATTAACTTAGTATGAAAAATGTTTTCCTTGAATAAATGTTAGAAATTTTTTACATTCATCTTATATTGGATTTACATAGTGATCTGCATCATGTTACACTATGATCATGCATTTGTTAAGTGGCAGATCATCAATTAATAAATTAAGCAAAACCAAATTATAATCTATATTAGGAGCATACTATTTATTATGTAATATTTTTTATTTAATACAGTCGAGGATATTACTATAAATGGATCTCAGTTCTAGAACATTTCTAGAATAATCTACAATAATTTGCAAAAATTTGATTAGCTCTTAACAGTCTTTCTAAAGACAAAATTTTTTCATTTTTACAGTATTTTACTTTATGTTAAACGATATACTAATAAGAAATAAAGAGCCTCTAGATTAATAATCTGTAATAATCCCCTTGTAATCTCTTTTTTAAAAAAAGGTAAATGAGACATAAAAAGTCACTTAAATATGAGTAAAGCTAATGAGTTAAGCTTTTTTTTTCAAAAATACTAACTAAATAACGTTTAAGAACAATATCGCAGACCCCAATGGCTAATCAAAGAACAAAAGTTAAAGATCTTCCTTGCATATTTTTTAATCTAGTTCATTACTATAAAGATCAGAGTTTAAGTACTTGTGATATACCACCAAACTCAGAACATTGGAGAAATGCTAATACACCAGCGGTGACTAAAAAGCTTCAAGCATTTCAAGATCTTATACCGGAACTCAGAGATCGACAATTTTCTTAATTTTCTATTTGTGTAAACCACTATAATCAAGTTATAGCTAATGACAACTTTTATTAATATCTTTTAGGTAGTTCTAGTAGAAAGCCTCAACTTGACATTAGTTTCAACACTGATGAAATGGTTGTCAATAATGTATTATGCCATTTATTAGAGTTTGAAAGAATTGCAGAACATAATAGAAATATAATTACAGAATTACAACAGCAAGTGCAAAACAAAAGCAGAATAATATTTAGGTTAAACAAGCAACTTGAAGAATATTATATAATGATTTCTTAGTTAGAAAAGTTATGTCAAGAACAGTATAAAGCATATCAAAAACAATATGAAGCATATCAAGAAAAGTTTGAAGCAAACAATCAACTAACTGAACAGTGGAATTTTCGGTATGATAGTCAGTATAAGCGTATCCAGGCCATTATTAATATTGCATTAATTGAGCGAAAATCATTATATGATAATGTCGAAGCTCTTATTAGAAATAATAATAGATTTTCTTTAGAAAATCTATTAAACTATACTCTACAATTATGGCTAAGTTAACATAATTCAGTAATTGTAGAATTTATTGAAACACTAACTAGCAATAATTTTGATACAGGTTCTAAAAACGCTAAAAAACTTTTTAAAAGGGCTATGGCAGTTGATTTGATATATAAATCTAGACATAGAAAATACGTTTCAGAAATAGATCTCATGGCATTAGTCGTTAAATATTCTATTGCACGATCAAAAACTATTGTTAATGTTGATAACCATATTACAAGCTCGGGAAGTTATTCTAGTTTTTAGAATTGGTTAGACGAATTAGGTGAAAAAGAGAAAATTCTACCAAATGGTCTTTTATTCTTAGCATTTGATAATGAACAAAGAGGGCAAAAAAATTACCTAGACCAGGGACTTAATACGGTCATATTTCATATTGTTACCAGTTTTGTTGCTTTTAATATGGATTTTTACAATTATCTTTAACATACTAATAATCCTTGGGCTTTTGATTTTTTAAATAGGTCACAATACAAAAGCCTTTTTGATACTATATCTGAAATGCAAGAAATTATAGACCAAGAATTATATAATTATATTTCTGAAATACTTGATCTGGTGTGTGAAAAGAAATTATCTGCAATTAACTCGATTGATTTACTTGCATCTAATATAGGTTTGAGTAGTTGTTGTAGCAAACGGTGTTCTAGTTGTAATGAAAAAAATATTGATAATTAAAAGCAAGTGTGCTTTAAGTATAAATCCCGGCCATTTATATTAGCAGAAATGTCAAAAAAAGAAGAAGTAGTTAAGAATATCGCAGACAAGCCAATTATATTTAAACCATATAATATTGAAAAGGAAACTCGACAATCCAATGCACTAAGAATTAGTATTACTCAAAAACCACTTGTTGATCAGGGAGTTAATGTTCCAGAAATCTTTATTCCCGACCTCCTTGATATTAATCCAAATTCAACTGCTAATATTGAAAAAGTTCTTCTTCACATTGAAAATATTGCAGGAATTAATAATGAAACACATAAATAGGTAGTTGTATTTTGTGATAGTATTCCATATCATAGAATGGCCAAAATAAAGGAGAAATATCCATGGTTGATTCTTGTTCCTGGACAATTGCATGAGGAAATGAATATGCTTCGCGCATATGTGCAATTAAATTGGTATATCTACATTGCTTTTAAATACTTTATTCTTTTATTTTTATATTTTTTAATTACTTAAAAATAGAAATATCGATCTCAAACGGTTTGCAGTATCTTAGGGATATAAGACTGAAAATCAACTTAACTATTTTAAAAAATGCCATGATTACCATAAATCATGGAATTAGATTTGCAATATCTATCGCCAGGCTATGGCCATGGAACTAGTGTGGCCATATATTAAAAGCCATTCTATTCTATTAGTAGATAGATATCTGTTTTGGGTAAAAATCAAGAGGACCCACTTTATCAGGTCAAATTTAAACAGATAAAATTTATTGTCACAGCTAATGCTAAAATTGGCTAATGCTGAAATTTTGACTTATTTTATTATGATATTTTAAAAAATTTTTGTGCCTTTCTATTAGGAGTTTTTTTTTAGTATTAGATTAGGGTTTGAGGGTAGAGTTGTTAGTAAAAAAGTATATGTGAATTTTGGTAGATATTATAGATTTAAATTGGGACCCTAAATTTTAGCATCAGCCGCAATATTTATTTATCTAGTTATTTTTTTTCATTTTTTTTCGGTATATTTTTTATTGGGTCTTATAATATTTAACATCACATAATCAATATTAGCATTTTTGTGATTTTGACATAATGCTTTGTAATTCAAATCATAATACCCAATAAATAATATGTAGAGTTTGAGCCAAATTTTAATTAGTGATACAAATTGGCAAATTTTTTTCAATCAATTAGTTGGTTTGTTCAAAATTTTTAATTGATTAGTTGTCAATTAAACAAAAATTCGATTTTTAATTACTGTATAAGTTGGCAAAGAATTTTCAATCAATTAGTTGTTTTTTTTAAAAAATTTTTCAATTAATCAGTTGTCAACTAGACTAACTAATCAGTTTTTTAATTTTTGATTTGCATTAATAACTTTAGTTGATGAATTGTAATCTATGTCAAATCAGATAATTGTAATTGATAGAGTTAAATAACTGCAAATTTATTATTACAAAGTGAAAATATAAAGTGACTTGAATCAAGAAGTCAGGTCAAAATTTATTTTAATATGCAGCAATTTGGATAGTCGATTAAGGTGAAAAATAGTTTAAATATTTCTATTTAATATAAGATTTCAAATTATATTTGTACTAATCTAAATTTTTATTTTTACTTAACATAATTAATATTTTAACTATAACCTAAGTTCATTGGTGAAGTCACAAAGATCTGAAAGAAAATTAGCATCTGGTTCTATTTCTACGAAAGCAAAACAAAAGCCTTGGTCATTTTACATGTATGATAAATATTTAATTAATTGATTTTTTTTTTACAATAGATATTCATTTATTTGCAAGTCATTATTAATTACAGAATAGCAATCAGAGGAAATAATCCATTATTGAAAAGAGCTGCAAAAAGAGTTTTTTCTCCAGTATGGTCTGCATGAAGGTATCCGATATATCTTCAAATAGAAATTGCTGATAAAATACAACTTTTGCAGCTTGACCCTATGATACAAGATATTATAAAAAAGTATTATATAGTTTCTTGGTCAGGATTCTTTAACTAGCATCAAGGATTAGATGCAATTTTGGAAGAAATAAATAAGGCTCTGAAGACGTTGATACCACCCATCCCACAAATACGACATTGAAAAATTGCTACTCGAAATTGCAAGAAGTTTATTTAGATATATACATAATTACTTATGACTAGTTTATTTAAAATTTGGCTTCATATAAATTAATTTACATATGAAAATTTAGTTGTGAAATAACTTCTTTAGTGCAATTAGATACAATAATCTTTAGTCGACTGAGCTAAGGAATCAGCTAGAAGCTGTTACAAAATGCTAAAGATTTTGAGCCCATCTAAGAAAAGATGATTTTATTAACCTAACAATAGGTTTGAAAACTACCTATAAGAGCTTGAGGGAAAAATATACAATTGATGGATTTTATTAACAAGCTTAATGTGAATATATTACTAATGTTTTTATTAATAATGATTTAGCACCTCTATTTAAGCCAATCCCAATTATCAAACAAGAAGCTATAGCGCAAACATGTAAAGCTTTTTTTGACAAATTCAGAAATAATTTGCAAAATAGAAGCATTTCTTGAATTTGCAGGTGAGAATGCCTGAAAAAAATATTGTAAAATTTAATCTAAAAAGCATAGAGAATTGTTGACTATATTGGAAAAGGTAAGATCTTTAATTAATTCAAGCGATGAATTTAATAATTGTAAAAATATTGAAAGTTTAGAAAATCTGATGAATGAAATAGGTGAAATAGAACATGCTAGTCAAAGTCAGATTTCTGAATTGATTGTCTGAAATGAAAGTTGTTGAATTTATATTTTTTTTATTAAATTTATTTAATTCGATTTTTTTTTTATTTATTTATTTATTTGTATTGTTAATTATTATATTATTTATTTAATTATTTTTAATTTTTTTTGAATATATAAAAGCAATTTATTGTATTTTAAAGAATTTGAATTCTGGGTTGGGAAAATAGCATGTTTATTAATAATTTAATGCATATTACATATTAATACAATAATAAAGACTATATAAATTATACCCGAGTTAAAAGAAGAATTTAACAAAAATTTGGGTTGTGAAAATATACACCCTTTCACATGCTCAAAGCCTAAAAAAAATCATATATCCAAAGTAATCTAAAAAACAAATGCTTAAACTAGGGTTTTGCAATTTGATTTGATTTGATTTGATTTAATTAAATATTTAATCTCAAATCAAATTTAAATACAGAAATTTCAAATCAAATAAAATTCAAATTGACAAAATATTTGATTTGATTTGAAAATACTTAATTTAATTTGATTAAATCAAATTCAAATCAAGAGCTTATTTGATTTAATCAAATTCAAATATGTAAATATTCGATTTGATTTGACTTTGAGAAACCCTAGCTTAAACTGAGTATATAATATTATTATTTTACAATTAAGTTAACCATTTTTATTATATATCTTGAATCCTAATATTATTCTTGTATTCGAATAGGCCAGATATTCTAAAACAGCCTGAACATCGAATGCAGTTAATTCATTACAGTTATGTCTAGAAATGCAGACATTTTCAGATCAAGAGTAACTACCTTCCTCTAGTATATAAAATTTGGGTAGCTTCCCAATTATGATTATGCTTGTATATTACAGCATTATTCAGTATTTCAGTATTTCATATTGGCCTTTAAATCAGTATATATCATATACTGTGGGTTATTTAATTGGTATTAGCTAATTATATAATATTCTTTTAGAAATCTCTAGAATCTTAGAATTTACAGTTTATTACTATAAA